TGTGTATGTATATATGTATGTATGTATGTATATATGTATGTATGTATGTATATATGTATGTATGTATGTATATATGTATGTATGTATGTATATATGTATGTATGTATGTATGTATGTATGTATGTATGTAAGTTCGTGGTGTGGGTTTGCGTATGTGTGTATGTGTGTGTGTTGTGTGTGTGTGTGTGTATGTGTGTGGTGGGTGGGTGGAGGTACAATCAATCGGAGTGATAAGGGACGTTGAGAAGCGAAAGTCCTTGAATCAGGTGTTTTTTCACTTCAATAGTAGAATCTGCGATTTAAATATATGGACTGTCCGAGGAGGAACGGATAGTTGGCTGGTAAGTGGAAGGTGATCGTAATTCAAAGGTAGCATAGATTATGAACTTGCTAAAAGACGACCGGAGTTGTTTAGGTTCGGTAAGGCTAGGGGTGATCTTCATTTCTGAATTGATCTTCTAATTGTACTCTGAATATGTCCACCAACCTCACCTTGCAGTAAAAATAGTGAGACCACTTGCGCAGCTTTTCGCTCAGAAGGAACTCATTGCTTTGAATACTTCCGAATGCTCATCAGTAATGAGTCGCAAATAGGTCTATGTGCAGTAAAAGATGCTGGTAGCATGGTTGAGGAACAAAGGAGGAGCAAAATTTCATGAGCAGATTTTGTCACACCATCAAGAACCCTTTCTATCAAAGTCCGGCTGCTGACAGTTTTTTCGATGTTTCTAAATCTCATCAGGTTTGACTAGCCGCACGCTTCTGATAGGAGTAAAGTGCAGCCATGTACATCGGCATACAGCAAGTCATTGTATGGGCACTCAAGCATTCGGAACGTCGCTCTGATTCTGAATTTGAGCGGAAGCGCGGTGCATCTGAAAACGGAATTAGCTGTCGGTGAGGAACTGATCATTTCATTCCTATCAAACGCTTTCAAAACGGTTTTATGACATGCATATCATCGACGGTCTGGGGCTATTCTTAAATATCAGTAAGAAAAGAGGGAATGGAGAAATGAATTCCTAACGAAGTTCCCTTTAAAATTTTCCGACCAAAATAAGTGTTTTTCTACGTACGTACGTTTCTAAGTGCTTAGCTTCTATGATCTTGTAGTGCTTATTTGGAGGAAGACTTGGGCATGTATCACTGCCCTCACCTCATTCACAAGAAGTGATGATAGATCAACACTTACCATATCACATTCATAACACTCATCTTTATCATGTGGACGGAATTGGAGATAGTCATATAATAGGGTCAAGGTGGCTTAAATGGAATGCTTATGTTCTCCTTCAAACCGCTCTTCTTCCATAAGTGGTACTAGGTAGTAATGGAAAGGAATTCCTCATTCGTCCACGTAACTATGCGAATTTTTTGGATTCCAAAATGGAAAGATGTAAGGAATTTCATGAACGAAGCTATGAAATGGGGGATCATTAATTCCCCTCTCACTCTTCATCTACATATACCCCTTAAAGGTAAGAGGCTCCCTCTATAGATGTACAGGCGTCATCTCAGTCACTATGATGACTAGAACAGATTGTACTGGCAATATCAAATTTGATTTTTATAAATGCCTTTACAAATGTATTGGGCCCTGTTATAGTACGTCCCTTGAGGTAGGAAGAAGTAGGACTTTTCATGTCTCGGAGTGCGCTCCGATCTACGGCACTTTCTGCTCGGGGTTGCTCATGTATTCTCATTTACTCGAGAAATTTCATTGAACGCTATTCAAACCTCGTCACGGATGCGCAGGAAGCCACTAAGCATCTCACAATTCTTAGTTTCAGCGAAACCTTTTCTGAATTTCCAAGAGACTAATTGCGGTATGTCGTAGAAAGTTTATGAAGAATGCCTTCTGATGCTTACAACTAGAACGAGCCTGTGGCCTCCAAGTATGCCATATGGGCGCTGCCGGCTCAAAAACGGTCTAGATATGGCGCAATTAAATTTCAAAGATAGCTCTGTCGACGTCCCCACTTAAGCAACTAGTCGTGACTCATTCGATAGTGGAAGACAAGCCTGAGCATTTATTTACACGGAGTAACTTTACTAAGTTGCATAAATTAAATCCCTTCCAAATACCTCCTCGATGCCGTTTCTGTCATGGTAATCTAATACAACTCTCATATCACCTTTTCTTTGGAGCCTTATTTTTCGTAGATTCTGTGGAATTTCTAGCTTTCTCCGCCACCGATGCGTCAATTCCTACTAATACCCGCTTGTCCACATAAAAATGCTACCAAGGTCATTGTGAGCCTGCCTTGAGGATAGATAAGGACCGTAGATAATCAATACGAGACAGTTCATTTCAAAACTATTCATCACGCAATAACCATACGTCTGAAGAAGCAAAATGAGCGCATGCGATGAGGTTGAAGAGCTTTCTACACTCCATGAACTTCCACTTTTTCTATCCACTTCATGGCCGCATACCATCATCCTTGGTGCTTCTTTTGTTGTAGACTTGCTCATAGCATCTAGAAACAGAAACACCTCTGAAAAAAAGGATTATGGCCCAGAAACAATGCTCAGATTCGGAATGGGGATATGGGAATGATATCAGTGCCGGAAAACACGTACGGCGCTATACATCTGATCTTAAAATCCACCGCGATTCAATGATCGTTCCGTACGAAAGGACCCAACTCACACACCAGATGCACTCGTTTTTCTTTTGGTCACAGTGTTGCACTACGCCTAACGTCTGCGCTTTGATCCTTAACTCAACTCGCCTGCTTCTAATGCAGTTGTGAATAATGCTCTATTATGAAAGACCAGCTATCGAAACCTTATGTTTGATGATTTTTGACGACTGAATTGTTTTTTTTTTTTGTTTGTTGATGCTCACGCTCCAAAGTTTAGACTCTCAGGATTCAGGATTTGAGAACGAACAGTCTTTTGCAAGAAACTCCGGTCGTGCAACCACAGCCACAGCCACAGCCACAAGCACAACCACAACCACAAGCACCGTTTGTACAAGTGCAGCAACAGACGCCTTTTGAACCAAGGCAATCTCAAACGCCATTCATCCAGCAACAACCCCAAAGAATTGAACAATCGACACAGCAGTTCCACTTCAACCAAAGGCCGGTACAAACACCTTTCGATCAAGCGCAACAGCAATTCCGCTTCAATCAAAGGCAACAACAAACACCTTCGCCGTTCCAAACTCCCTTCATTCAACGACAACCACAGACGCCTTTCACATCTCAGCCGCCTCCGCTTACTCAGGTTCGTTTCAGACCTTGGAGAGGAAGAAACCTTATTGGGGACGGTTCACCGTCAATGTTCTGTTCACGATAATGTACGTGAGGGAAGAAGGGACTTAGGATACCGCGCTTCAACGACAGTGGGCTCTAGGTCGTTGGTTAACAATCAACCCTCTTAGGAAGAGACTGAGATCTTAGCAACTCCAAGCTTCTTTCTAGTCTTACTTACTATGAAGGGCATTTCCTGCTCACCTGGATTTTTCGGCAATGAGATCATCCGATTTTTCGGTACAGTTTACAGTCAGCTACGTTCCACTGCTCCCTGCCCATTCTACTCACCCTTGGACTACTGCATCGAAAATCTTCGTGATGTAGTTCCCCTTGCCACTCTGACAAAGCTCAGACCCGATTTCTTCTAATCTGATTGCTGTAGAACTAATGATTGTACATTTCAGGCCGCTGAATCGACCACGACTCGCATGAGGCACATCATACCTCTCACAGGTATGGAAATCATACATCGACGTGGGTTCATGCCCCATTAGTGTGGAGCACCCATGCACACACCCGAGCACACACTTGGTTCGGTGAAAATGTAGTTGGGGGGTGCCAGCGCCCTTCCGTCTCGTTGCTCTGCGTCTCTGACCCAGGCGGCAGAGTACCCAGATACCGCGCTGAGGCGCGGATATGGCCTCTTAATAGTGATAGGGAATGTATTTTTTCACAAGGGGAGGAGCTCCGGGGTGGGTGAGAAGTAAACGTTAGGCAAAGAGTTGAAATGATTCAGAATAGCTTTTTAATAACAACTTTAGTCGAAGGGTGCGGGGCGTCCACGATGCGCAATCGACTTATTGCAATCAAACTCCTCAATTTTAACCCATTCCACTCTTTTCACTTTAACGCAACTTTCTCATGTCCTTGCACTACGTTTACTTCTCACCCACCCCGGAGCTCCTCCC